CTTATCAAATGAATATGGGAGGAGATCAGCAACTTTTCAGCTGATCAAGGAAATGATGGATATGTTTGAGCATCTTTAAGCCTCTTCTGTTTCATTGCATTCTGATTTTAAATACGCATTCTACAATATCAACAGATTGTATGTTAAAGATTGTATGTTACTGCTGAATTAAAAATAGGTTTTGTGGCGTTATCACTGACTGAATAGCTGCATCAAGTAAGACTGTACTTCTGTTTAATGTTTTCTTCGATAACCCAGAAGAAAATTTAAAAATATTTTTTAAGTGATGCTGGTTAGAAAAGAAGTAAACAATGAAAAGGACAGATTAATGTGGATTGCTTGGCAAGCAGGGCATGTCCAAAAAATGCTGTGGTTAAACTATGCATCTTTTGAACACAGAATTCAAGCTATACTTACGGAGGTAAGATGATATGCTGAAAATATAAGAACCTAAAAATGATCTGGGTGTCAAGGTAGACAAGAATTGCCTACGTCTCCTACACGGTGTTTTAAGGAACTAGCTAATCTGATTTTGGATGTAGAGATAAAACTCATAATGGATTGGAAAGCGATGTTACACCCAGATGCATACAGTGAGACCCATAGTGAGCAGCTACGTACTTTGTTAGCAGCATCATTTAAAAAAAGGGTATTGGAAAAATTGGGAAGACTCAGAAAAAAGCCCTTCCCCCAGTTATTTGATACCTAAGGTCAAGATCTCTTAGTAAAAGATTTAAGGAACTCTATTTTGGTTCAATGAAAAAAAAAAAAGATAAATTACTGGATTTATGTCAGGTCACACAAAAAGATACCATTTTAACAGGCTGATCAATATCGGAAAGAAAAGTGGCACAAGATGTAGGGACTGGGACTTGAAATGAGAATAATTAAAATTAGTTAATCTAGTTGATAAAGATGGTAGTAAACCCCTGGAACATATTTTGATTGCAGAGATAGAATTCCTGCATTGGTAACAGTAGGACTACACACAAATACACACATTAATGATGAAGGCTGCTATCCCAAGTGTCTCTCCAGAATTCAGTTCTTTCTCATTTTAGACCAAGTGAGAGAGATGTAGTGGCATCCCTAAAAGGAATTTTCAGCCCAATTTCTGCTCTTAACATAATGAGAAGTGTTATGCATCCCTTGTTACCGCTCTGGTATCAAGAAAAAGAAAAAGAAGAAAAGTGAACAGTCTTGGTCCCCAGTGGGAGAGAGTTTTTCAAATTAAATTGAGGAATAGAAAAGGATGACTGTTCTTTCATGCGCATTTTTATTTTACGTTAAACAAGATAATCTTGTTTGAGCTTGAACTGTTGTATCTGAAAGAAATGGGGCTTGTGAAGGGAGCATATGTACAAAGCATAAAATATTTTCTGCAAGTGTTATTGATGCAGCTGTTATTCTACATCCAATTACGGAAAGTAGCACGTGGTTAGACAGCTTTATTTGCTGCAGAATCAATCTCTGCCTGACTTTTATTACAGGTAAGAGGTTAAAAACAATTATATGAAATGATGAGAGGAATTCCCTAAGTGCAATGGCAATGACATCATGTGACACCATTAAGCAAAGGCTTATTTATTAATATATAGTACTTAGCTATTCTGAAAGGCAGAGGGCAAGCGTTTTGAACTTGCTATAGTCTCATAGTCATAGCACCAAAAATCCTTCAAGCATCAAGGAGCCTGGAGTCAGTGTTTTTCTGCCCTCTGTTACTTTTTCTTCATCGTTTTTAATAATAGACATTAGGACTTCACGCTTCAATTATGACCGGCTTTGCTGGTGATATGAATATTCCCAAGAACAAGCGGAGGTGTCGAGGGGAAGATACCTCTCAAAGCAGCTGCAATGTTTCTGATCTTTAAGAGCTTATATTGAGCACCTTTAAGGGATGAGCCCGGAAACTCAGATTTATGGGGTATAAAAACCCCATGGCACCAGTTCCGTGGCACATTACTCTCTTCCTTAGGCCTCTTCTCCAGGCTAACCTCTCTGTGGCATGGCTGATAAGAAAAAGGGCGGGCAGTCAGGCACTGACAGTCCTCTCCTCTGGTAGTTCCTGCCCACCCCCTCCGCTGCTCCCGGGGGACGGACTGACTGCCTTCTCTGTCAGGTGTCCTAGCGGATCGACAGCTAACTCAGCTCGGGAATTCCTTTCCACTTGTATTTCGTCCTTAAATGCGCTGCTTCGGTTTCCTAAGCAAAACCCCACGTTGCCTGACAGTTTTTTCCCCCATTTATATTGTTTGAGCTAATCAAATATCTTTAAGGTTGCAACTGAATTTAAGTATATCTATGTATATGTATACATCTATATATGTTCTTGCACGTGTGTGTGTATCTGCCTCTCTCTCAGGGAACTGGAGACTTGCAATGGGAGTGCTTAAAAGGCCAGTTTTAAAATGGAAAACGGAACTGCTGAATTCATTCCTTAATGACGCACTTTGTGCTAACAGTTAGTTCTTGCATGTTATTAAACGTTATTGCTACGTGTATAAAACTGTTGGTCTGTAACACTTGCACACTAAATTAGCTGTGACTGTGCAGCAGCGTGGAGCTGCTGCTGTACAGCTGGCACCGACGGCCAAGGTCCTCATTAGTCTCCAGGATGAAGGCGACCAGGCTGGAGAGCTCTTCCACTGGAGGAGGTGTCTGTCTGTCCTCCCCTGTCACTGTTGGTATTTAATGCTTCTTGCCCGCCTGTCCCACCTAAAGGGCGATTCAGGTGCTCCTTAACTTGGTTTTGCTTTGGCCACTCGTGCCACCTGTGCCGTGGGCAGGATGCCCTCCCCCTTTCCCTTCCCCATGGCTTATTTTGCTCTTCATCTTGTAACTTCCGTCGCTTGGATGTCTCTGAAGGGCAACTGCGCAAGCCTGCCTTTGCTGCTTTGATGGTTACGTTGCTCGCTACGGGAAATGCTTGCACGTAGCGTTGAGCTGTGCCATCGCAGTGTTACAAAATATTTACATGCTGGTTGTTGTGCTATTTAAGTGTGCTTATATTTGGGTTCCGGGCAAGCTGATATTAACTATACCCAGATCAATACACTTCAGAGCTTTCACAGAGCTTTTCTACTTCAGCTACGCTAGCCACAAACCTTCCTCTGTAGCAGTATTTGTAATTCCAATATAGAAAAAGAATAGTTTCAGATGGCTAAAAGTTCAAGGGAAATCTAAATTCAGGGTGGCAATCTTTGCACTTACCGAACCAGATCCTGTGGACCTGCCTACCCCTTTTTGGGCCTCAGAACGCATCGCCCTTTCATTAACACGGGGACGCTTCAGTCTTTCCTTTCAATTTATTTATCCCAGCAAAGCTCTTTGGTCTGGGCTGTCACTCTGAAGCTGCAGCTATGCAGACACCCGGTCTGTGGGAAGTTTGCTCAGCAGCCTCTTGTGTTGTGCTAACTAAAGTGTGAGTGTGTAATAACTGCGTCGCCCGATTCAAACATGCAGGTTGTAGACACTAAATCAAGTACGGTCAAGCAGGGAATCTGCCTGTGTTGGAGACACCAAGGGAAGAGTGCTCGGTTTTCTTGGTAATATTTAAATGTTCTGTTCATAGACTACCTTGAATTACCTTTGAGCATGCGTTACTATTTTGTTATCAAAAGTATTTTATTATTTTATTGTTTTCCATGTTATTTTGGAAAGATGCACAGGGGGAGACCTGTATTCCAACAAGGAATATAAAGTTGATTTCCGTTCAGTCTCTTAGAAGGGAGGCAAAGTCCCTCTGTGAAAACTGAAACTTGGAAGGCCAGGGGGGAAAAGAAATTCTTACATGAGGATGCATTTTCTTACTGTTTCTGAACTGCAGAATGCCCGTTTTCTCTGAGAAAAGCTAAAAAAAACATTTGTGGGTTTGAAGGGGAAATATTCCCCTCCAACTGGATTCTTTCTGCAGGCTGGCTGGCTGAGTGCCACTGTAGTAAAGGAGGCTAACCTCTTAACATCTTTCCGCTTCTTAAAATGTCCAGGCAGTGAAGGTGTAAAATGATTTCTTCTCTTAAATATCATTTTTCTGTGCAGTGTTTATTCTCTGGCTGAAGCATCCTGGGCTTCATCTAGTATAAACCTGCTACGGAGACACAGCAATCTTGTGCCTTTGTATCACATGTGGTAGGGTCAGACTTCTCAAATTTTAGATTTGCTTAAAGATTTAGTGTTACTTGAGCGTCTTCCAGCTTATTCCAAGTAACCTAAAACTCATCAGTGCAATACAGGGCTATTCTAGAAAAAAACCTCAACCAACCAAATGACAACCTCTAACAGTTACATGCACACAGTTCTCCTGGATGTAGCTGGACGTTACAGTCTTAGAGTAATTTTTATTTTATATACATGCAGAAGTTGTAAGTGGTACAATAAAATCGGTAAGCCAGAGGACAGATTTGAAGTTCACTTCTTCTGCAGTCATTGATTAGTCAGCTGAAAGGACCTGACTTGGCTGACCAGTACAAAAACCAACGCATGGGGGTACAGATAATTTTAATATACTTTTATAATTTATACATCCTATACAAGAAAGACTGAGAATTATATTACTCGCTAGTTATTTCAAAGTATTGATTTCTTTTCTAGCTATCTAATTATTTCTCAATATCCAAAATTTAGTGTTGTACATCAGTTATTTATTATGGTTTGAAAAGTGACAGAAAATACTGGTTTGATCCTATACTTATTTTCTTGGAAGGCACAGCTGCTCAGCTTAGAGGAAATTTGTTTTGTACAAATATTTGCCGGAAGGCAGCAGCATGCCGTAGGCATGGAATAGGAAGCTATGTACATCGAGATAATCCTCATCTCCTTCATGCACTGCGTGTGGTATCATGCTTTTTAGCTATATGGGTCATCTTTCAGTAGAAAATGTCTCTTTGCTCTGTAATTTGCGTAAATTTATATGGAAATCATAGAAAATAAATATGGACAAATGTGATAATAGGTGAGTTTTACTCTTCACACATGTTTTTCAGAAGTGTCTCTGCCGCTGCTCAGTCTTCTATTTTCAATTTAAATTCCACTTTACCTTCGTACGGATCATGAACGTTATCAAACGTAATTCCAGCTCCAATGATTTTGCACACTATTTTCAGTTCTACGTTCCTCGTAAGGTTGAGAAATTTCACAGCTACCAAAGGATTGCTGTAGCTGGGCTAGGAGGGGGGAAGAAAAAGAAGTACTTCAATTTTACACCACTGATTTAAGGTCTTAAGATTAGCCACCTCCCTAGTTCTCATAAGATTGCAGAGATGCCCCATAGGCTTCATCTTACACAAAGATGAAGAAGAAAAGTGGTTCCGAAATACATGAGCACCCACCTGTGACTTTTTCCCGTAGTAGGGGAAGTAGTGCAGGTTGAAGGTACCGTTCACGGGGTAGTAGTCCACCTCCAGCGGGCGAGACGCGTCTCCCTGTTGGTAAGGCAAGAAAGCAGCTCTGTTGGCTGGGCACTCGTAAGCCAGCCCTGGGCAAGGGTTTTACCGCTGCTAAAAGCTGTGCAGCGTGTGTTAAAACTCTAGTTCAGCAGTCTGGTTAAAATAAGCGTCGCTCTTATTTTTCAAATAAAAGTGGAAATCTCCCGCTGTTGCTATTGCCGAGAGAAAGGGGCAAGGGTATTTTCGCAGCAGTTGTGAATTCAGTGAATTGGCGACCTGCGGGAAGGGGCAGAGCGCCTGGAGGAGCTGCTCTGAGGCGTGAACTTCGCTAGCGGGAGCTGAAAGCAAGCAGCTGACGTTCTTTGCAGCACAGAAAAACCACTTTTCAGGTGATTTAAAATAAAGCAAACATTTTGTTGGTGTTCTTAGGGTGTCTGCTGGTGCAAGAAATTGCACGGAACTGAGAATATTCCCACTATTGGGCCAGAATGATCTGATTTCCCGAGCTGCCAGGGCAATCTTTCTGATCGCAACTGCACTCCACCTGCTATCAGAGCTGCAGTGCTTGAATGCTGAGACTGGGGACCTCATGCGCTTACCACGTATGTGCAGTCCACTCTTGGTGCGGTGCCGTTGCCAGGGAAAAATTTGATAATCTGAAATAGAAAACACCCATTTGGTCATCCTGGACGTTGTTTTGAGATGCAACCAAGCGAACACTCAACTGAGCTTCAGGTGCTGCTTAAGTGTGTTTCTGCGTAAGGCCCACAGGTCACCTCATCTGATGCGCCTGGGTGGCAAAACTGTGTTGGGGCTGGGTCTGTGAGAAGTGGGACTTGGTGCTGCCCGGGCTGGGCACTGCGGGCGGGCTTTTTCCCGGCTGCACCTCCAGGCAAGTCCAGCTCATTCGCCTGCCTGTGCCGCTTGCTCTCAGCTGGGGGTCTCTTAAAGCAGCTCGTTGTGGAAAATAAAGGAAAAGCTGAACCCCCATGCTTTTCATCATATGCCTTATTTGAAACCTTGGCAGAAACTATTGGTCCCCGTTGACCCTACAGAAATAGTGGGGTTGCACCCGATAGCATCAAAGGTGAAAGGAGATAAAGCGCCCCCCCACAGGCCCCACGCAGGCACCACCCACCGGCCATGGGTGGTGTGCAGCCCTCCTGAAGCAGGCAAAGGCTTTTGGGGGGAAAACCCAGTGTTTTGCCTGCCAAAATCAGGGGCACAGCTCGCCTCTCACAGCCTGGACCTTGCACAGATTCTTGAAAATATTCATTGCCCGAGTCTAGGGTGCAAGCCCAAACAAAAATGAAGTTATTTTGTCTGTCAGGAGACGGTGGAGAACAGGAATTCTTCCCTTTGTACTGAAATTGAACTAGAAGGCTCAGAATCTTACCTGAAAACAAAAATAAAATGCTTATGCCTTTGTCTATGTCCTGAAAAAATCAGAGGTGTGGAAGATACCCTTTTTGCTCTCTAAAAAAAAAAAAAATGTTTGTGGTTTTTACTGAAAAAAAAATATCTACTAGGTTTGAATTTTGTTTTTACGGGTTCTGCTAGAGATTTTCTTTGCGGCCTGGAGAAATAAGGTGTGCAAGTATCACCTCTGTGAAACCGCTTCAGGTACTGTCACGCCTTAACACCTTAGCTGAAGGCACAGGATCGGGGTGCTGCAGAATGAAGCCTTTCAATGTACTAATCCGTTGGATGAGAGCACTACGGAGATGCTGACAAAACTAAACGAACCCCGGAGCTTTAGAGAGCTGGTTTACAGGTCACTTTTCCCTGTGTTCCTTTCCTAGGGGTGGTGACCAAGTCTCACTCTTTCTCTGGTAACTCCGGAGGTCTCTCGGGAAAAGCACAGGAATTTGCCTTCCCAGTAGAAAGCAGAGATTGGAGCTCGTGGCAGCGGACGGCATAGCAGCTCCCCAGCGGGGGCTTGAGATGTCAGGGATTTTTTTTTGGTGAATTCTTTCCTGCTCAGCACCTTGAGCTTGTACTTACCCTGTTCATTTTTATAATAAAGCAGGGTTTTCCTTCTGGAAATCCAAAAGTAGGATCCGTGATGCCAGAGCAGTTCTGAAGCATATCTGAGGTAAATTTGCAGGATAGTTTTGTTTTATTGGGGCCATCAAAGGTGTCCTGAATGAAGTATGTGTCGCCGGTGCAGTTGATGTTCGGACGCTGCGCAGCTGGTGTGTATGCTGAATGTGTGCAGAAAGAACAAAAAATTCCCCACTGAAGTTTTTCATACATGAATTCTACATCCCAGTATCAGTTTGGAGGTTATATCATGGGAAACTGTACTTCAAGTGAAGTTGGGATTAGATGGAATGGGGAAAGCTTAAATTGTTTGGGTTTGGGGTTGTTTTTGTTTAGAACATCCAGGCAAAGCAAAAAAAGAGATCGAATTGAGTCAAGGCTGCCAATTTGTGTTGATAGCTCCATTTCAAATACAATTTTTCTCAATATGCTTATGAGAAACACAGAAATATGAATATAAGGCTCACAAGGTATATGAACTTAATCAGATCTGAACAGGCAAAGGGAGCACCTAACCTACTTTGACTGTACTCTCTGGTGACGCTATGCAACAGCTTCACAAGCCTTATTACGGCACTTTGATATTTGTAGTCACGGACAGTATTAGATTAATTTAGACGGGACTAGTTTGAAGACCTTGTTTTACCCTCTTCCTTCCAACTTTCTGTTAGCCTATTAAGGCTATTTGTGATTAAAAAAAGTAAAGCTCTGCAGCAGCAACTGAAAGCTCTGCTTTTATAGACATGTTCACATGTGTTTGAGGTATAGATTCATGAGGGGATCTGCTCGTCCCTTTCAGAAGATGCATTTTCCGCTCGGAATCTGATTTCGGAAGGACAAATGGAGAATGGGAACACTGACTGAAGGTTCTCGGACCCAATAAGGGAGACGCGACCGCACGTTTCTTCAATAGGAAACCTCAGGAAACCTCATTTTTACCTGTCAGAAAAGTCTGAAGAGTTGTCACTAAACCTTCCCAGGTTTTGTTGTCGGACATGTTGTAATAAATTTGTAGTCCTCTGTCCCCATAAACGTCGGGCCGTAACGTTACACCTTCACGGGGGAAGAAAAGAGAAGGCAAAGCAGAGGAGAGGTGCCAGGCACAGATTTGTTTATTTAAATTGACGGTAGCGATGACACCGCAATTGTAAGTGTATGGGATCCCCAGGCTTTGCTGGAGGGGATTTAACCACGTACGGAAACCATCTGGGCTCGTGAGTTGTTGGACTGAAAACCTAAAGACTCGGCTACTGCGCTAAGCTCTTTTTCTTTTCGTGTATATCCGTGCTGTTATCAGAACGGCTTGCAAAATCATTCCAGCAACTGCACTGGGTTTCCCCTGGACTTGTTAAAAATAACAGTTATAATAGCCACGTCAGGTTAAAGAAACGGATCCTACTGTAGTGTTAGAAGCAGCTTTTGAAAAAGCCACGCTAAATATTTTACAGGAATTATTTTGCCAGCAAGCAGCAAGCTTACTGAATATTGGGAAACTTCAAAATTCAGCAACAGGCAGACAGAATAATTCTTAGGGCTACAGCTTTGAAAAAGTAATTTTTTCCTTCCCATTGCTTGTAAAAACAAGCCATTTAGGGGGGTGACGTTTTAGCAGCAAGCACTGATACTGTCTTTTCCCTCCCCAGTCTTACTTCATGTCCCACAAATTTCTAATTTATACATTTATATATTTCTAATTTTCAAATTTCTAATTCTTTATTTCTGATCCCACATGCCTTTACCTGTCTTATTTTCACTTGCTTGGCTGCTGGCACAGCACATCCTGGTGGGGAGGGATTCCTTTTCTCCCAGGGACTTTCCATGCTGCTGGCAATACCCACCCCAGGCTGCTCGCCCCAGTGCCCCTCCATCTTGCCAGGTCACCCCAAAACCCTCTGTGGGGCTTGGGGGGCTGGAGCAGAAACCAGAGTTTCCCTAGGGGCTGACCCCTGCCCTTGGGAAGAGGAGGTATATATATTTATATTTATTTATTTTTATATTTATATATTAAAAAATCAAAATGCATAAATAAAAGTGCCAATTTTTTTTTTTAAAGCTTGAAAATGTTCTCAGGTGGAGGTTAAACTTTGCAGGGATCGTGTGGGGAGATTCGACCTGATTTATTCCACGTTTCTCACCCCTGGTGCCTGGGCTCTGCTGAAGCCTTTCGGCCCAGCCCAGCCCCACGCAGCCTCCATGGGAGACTGCAGGGTTTATCTCGTGACCGGGCAGCCACTGGCCAGACCGTGGCATTACCTGGGGATTTCAGCTGGTCTTGGTAATCCGGCTCGTACGGATTCACTGTCCTCATTAAAGAATAAATGGAGAGCGCGAACAACCCCGACATCACCACATAGAAAGCCAGGTAGTATAGGCTGATCCACACTGTGGAAAAAAATGAAGGCAAAAATCTCATTTTTCGAGCGAGGCGATGCAGTGATCCCTCTGCAGCTGGGACTGTCCGGGCAGCAGCAGCCATCTCCTTTCCACCCTTGGCCCCCAGGGAGGTTTTCCCTGTGAAGCAGCTGGTGTTTTGGATCTTTTTCTCTACACTCAAAAGAATATTCTTCTAGAAAAATTTGGCCGTAAATTTATTAAGTTTTACAAGGATTTTTAAAGCAGTTGGTGTTTAGCCCAGGCTATTTAAAAGTGAAATGATTGTGTGGCTTCTTGAAATCACTTCACGTATTAAGACCATTTATCAGCTTACTAATGTGGACTGAGCGACACAGCTGAGGTGTTTCTTCGACAAAAACAAGTTGCTCCTCGCATTATTTGGATGACAGCTGTCAGTATCTCAGGCAGGTTGATTTTAGACCCGTATCGCCTCACTGCCTTTTATATCTGAAATCACCTTCAGCAAAATGTGTCATCCCGCTATTTTATTCCGCTGCAAGGTGTTAGACTGACGCTGTGTCCCTGTCCCTGTGTGGGGGGAGGGGGCGGTCCCCCTGCCGGCAGCCGGCGAGTGTTTTGGGGGGGCCGTCAGAAACCGCTCCCTGTAATCATCGGGGCCTCATAGCACCTTCTTCTCTCCACAGTGGAAAGGCTCACATTTCAGTTTGATTTTCTGTAAAATCATGGCTTTAAGAATGGCTAATAAGCTACGCTCACGGGCTTTGCAGCAGAAAAAAAATCATCTGGAAACCTGCAGCGACCCTTACGGTCAGTGGACATGAATTCTACATCCCAGTATCAGTTTGGAGGTTATATCATGGGAAACTGTACTTCAAGTGAAGTTGGGATTAGATGGAATGGGGAAAGCTTAAATTGTTTGGGCTTGGGGTTGTTTTTGTTTAGAACATCCAGGCAAAGCAAAAAAAGAGATCGAATTGAGTCAAGGCTGCCAATTTGTGTTGATAGCTCCATTTCAAATACAATTTTTCTCAATATGCTTATGAGAAACACAGAAATATGAATATAAGGCTCACAAGGTATATGAACTTAATCAGATCTGAACAGGCAAAGGGAGCACCTAACCTACTTTGACTGTACTCTCTGGTGACGCTATGCAACAGCTTCACAAGCCTTATTATGGCACTTTGATATTTGTAGTCACGGACAGTATTAGATTAATTTAGACGGGACTAGTTTGAAGACCTTGTTTTACCCTCTTCCTTCCAACTTTCTGTTAGCCTATTCTATTAAGGCTATTTGTGATTAAAAAAAGTAAAGCTCTGCAGCAGCAACTGAAAGCTCTGCTTTTTTAGACATGTTCACATGTGTTTGAGGTATAGATTCATGAGGGGATCTGCTCGTCCCTTTCAGAAGATGCATTTTCCGCTCGGAATCTGATTTCGGAAGGACAAATGGAGAATGGGAACACTGACTGAAGGTTCTCGGACCCAATAAGGGAGACGCGACCGCACGTTTCTTCAATAGGAAACCTCAGGAAACCTCATTTTTACCTGTCAGAAAAGTCTGAAGAGTTGTCACTAAACCTTCCCAGGTTTTGTTGTCGGACATGTTGTAATAAATTTGTAGTCCTCTGTCCCCATAAACGTCGGGCCGTAACGTTACACCTTCACGGGGGAAGAAAAGAGAAGGCAAAGCAGAGGAGAGGTGCCAGGCACAGATTTGTTTATTTAAATTGACGGTAGCAATGACGCAGCAATTGTAAGTGTATGGGATCCCCAGGCTTTGCTGGAGGGGATTTAACCACGTACGGAAACCATCTGGGCTCGTGAGTTGTTGGACTGAAAACCTAAAGACTCGGCTACTGCGCTAAGCTCTTTTTCTTTTCGTGTATATCCGTGCTGTTATCAGAACGGCTTGCAAAATCATTCCAGCAACTGCACTGGGTTTCCCCTGGACTTGTTAAAAATAACAGTTATAATAGCCACGTCAGGTTAAAGAAACGGATCCTACTGTAGTGTTAGAAGCAGCTTTTGAAAAAGCCACGCTAAATATTTTACAGGAATTATTTTGCCAGCAAGCAGCAAGCTTACTGAATATTGGGAAACTTCAAAATTCAGCAACAGGCAGACAGAATAATTCTTAGGGCTACAGCTTTGAAAAAGTAATTTTTTCCTTCCCATTGCTTGTAAAAACAAGCCATTTAGGGGGGTGACGTTTTAGCAGCAAGCACTGATACTGTCTTTTCCCTCCCCAGTCTTACTTCATGTCCCACAAATTTCTAATTTATACATTTATATATTTCTAATTTTCAAATTTCTAATTCTTTATTTCTGATCCCACATGCCTTTACCTGTCTTATTTTCACTTGCTTGGCTGCTGGCACAGCACATCCTGGTGGGGAGGGATTCCTTTTCTCCCAGGGACTTTCCATGCTGCTGGCAATACCCACCCCAGGCTGCTCGCCCCAGTGCCCCTCCATCTTGCCAGGTCACCCCAAAACCCTCTGTGGGGCTTGGGGGGCTGGAGCAGAAACCAGAGTTTCCCTAGGGGCTGACCCCTGCCCTTGGGAAGAGGAGGTATATATATTTATATTTATTTATTTTTATATTTATATATTAAAAAATCAAAATGCATAAATAAAAGTGCCAATTTTTTTTTTTAAAGCTTGAAAATGTTCTCAGGTGGAGGTTAAACTTTGCAGGGATCGTGTGGGGAGATTCGACCTGATTTATTCCACGTTTCTCACCCCTGGTGCCTGGGCTCTGCCGAAGCCTTTCGGCCCATCCCAGCCCCACGCAGCCTCCATGGGAGACTGCAGGGTTTATCTCGTGACCGGGCAGCCACTGGCCAGACCGTGGCATTACCTGGGGATTTCAGCTGGTCTTGGTAATCCGGCTCGTACGGATTCACTGTCCTCATTAAAGAATAAATGGAGAGCGCGAACAACCCCGACATCACCACATAGAAAGCCAGGTAGTATAGGCTGATCCACACTGTGGAAAAAAATGAAGGCAAAAATCTCATTTTTCGAGCGAGGCGATGCAGTGATCCCTCTGCAGCTGGGACTGTCCGGGCAGCAGCAGCCATCTCCTTTCCACCCTTGGCCCCCAGGGAGGTTTTCCCTGTGAAGCAGCTGGTGTTTTGGATCTTTTTCTCTACACTCAAAAGAATATTCTTCTAGAAAAATTTGGCCGTAAATTTATTAAGTTTTACAAGGATTTTTAAAGCAGTTGGTGTTTAGCCCAGGCTATTTAAAAGTGAAATGATTGTGTGGCTTCTTGAAATCACTTCACGTATTAAGACCATTTATCAGCTTACTAATGTAGACTGAGCGACACAGCTGAGGTGTTTCTTCGACAAAAACAAGTTGCTCCTCGCATTATTTGGATGACAGCTGTCAGTATCTCAGGCAGGTTGATTTTAGACCCGTATCGCCTCACTGCCTTTTATATCTGAAATCACCTTCAGCAAAATGTGTCATCCCGCTATTTTATTCCGCTGCAAGGTGTTAGACTGACGCTGTGTCCCTGTCCCTGTGTGTGCAGGCGGCTGGTGCCCTGCCAGCAGCCGGCGAGTGTTTTGGGGGGGCCGTCAGAAACCGCTCCCTGTAATCATCGGGGCCTCATAGCACCTTCTTCTCTCCACAGTGGAAAGGCTCACATTTCAGTTTGATTTTCTGTAAAATCATGGCTTTAAGAATGGCTAATAAGCTACGCTCACAGGCTTTGCAGCAGAAAAAAAATCATCTGGAAACCTGCAGA